ACCTGACTAATATTTTGGGTTCCCTATAATGAAGTGCTGTTGAACAGTGCTGGTGGTGAGCAGGGAAGCCCTCAGCTGTGTTGCACAAGAAGCACCCCGTGAGCAGGACTGTTTCCATACGCTGCCCCTCACTTCAGCCCTGACCTTGTGGGAAAACCTTTGTGGAAGGGATGGTTCAGTTTCCAAAGCACACTTTGTTATGAGGCCAAGATGTTTCCATTCTATTTGAGTTGCTTGCCTGCAGCTATGTTCTCTTATACACACTGTGCTTCCCATGTCATCTGCTACAGGATCCCGAGAGAGAGTATTCCACAACCTAAAAAAAATCCTTAAAAATACACTAGAAGTGAAAAACGACACATGTCACTTACAGGGTTTCCATGAACGCACTGCAACAAAATTAGAGACAGGAAGTACAGAAATAGTGGAATCTGTACAGTGTTTAACCAAATTTAACTTTATATTTAAATGATCGTCTCTCTGACATCCCAGAATAGAATCAGCTGTGATTTATCATGGATGTCACAACAGAATCTGAGGACACTTCCTTCCCCTCTGGCCTCCGGATTGGAACAGCTTTGTCCTGGGTAAAATTATGGTGCTAAAATGTCAGTCTTGTTCCCAGATGACATCTTCCCAAGAGGCCCAATTTTTAATGTCTGCACAAGGCGCAGCCCCAAATGTAGAGAAAGGCTAGCTCCTCATTCACATCACATTCAGCGCTGTTCCAATCTTACCTTCTACAGAGGGTAGCAGGAGCTGGGAAGGGTTACTGGGAGAAACAAGGTGGTAAAAAACGCTGCTTTTGTTTAGTGCCCAAGCACTGCAGGGTGACAGCTGGCCTTTGGGCCTCCAGTTTACCACAAAGAACAAAGGCGATCAGACAAAGCTGCAAAGATCAATCCGTGCTTGTTTAGACACTGAGGAGTGGGGGATGCATGCACAAGCCACTGGCAGTGAGATTTATCTCAGCATCTGCAGAAATGGCTTTTCCCCAGCACCACACTTTGCATTTCTGCTCAGAAAGGAGCCTGTTTCTCCAGCAGTGTTGCCATAACGTCAAAATACTGTACAAAAACAACTCAGAGACACTGGGGTGAATGTAATCGCTGCAAACAGACTTTTAGAGGAAAGATCACTTTTGCTAGTGCTAGGCAGAACGGGAATGAGTCTTTTTCTCAATGTGTGGTGGCCTTAGCAAGACTCATCTGTTTCTCCCTTTGTAAAGTGCATGAGGAATAATTACAACCAGTTTTGAAAGGGATTTGATGTCCTTGTATGAAAAGCACTATGGTAAATGAAAAATATTTTTATGTTTAGAATACTTCATCTCTGAAAATACGTACAAGTGCCAGTAACATTAAAAACAGAAAATCTTATGAAAATCATAGCCAAAAGCAACAGAGACCAATCAATAAATCTTTACAATTTTGGTGTGGAAACAACATCATCTCTGTGCAACACGCAAAGGCACGTATCTTTGCGTGGAGCAACCCAGCCAGTGGTTAGTGAAACCTTCGGAATCGTTCACATGTTTTCAAAGTTGCTCTGAGTTTTGCAAACATTCTCCCTTTAATCTAAGTTATTGTTTTTCCAAGAGAATTTGAATTAAAAACATGAGCTTTTTAAGCTAAATATAAGTCCATTGTACACAAACAATTAAAATCTCTTTTAAAAACAATTCTTATTCTACGTGCCAAGGGTTATACAATCTCAAATAGTGTGAATCCTCTGCCTGGTTTCACTCAGTGAGAAGACTGTTCTGAAAATCCATAAAATCAGATAAAGATCGGATTCAAAACCTCTGGCTTTTATTATATATCTTCCTTGGTTTGTTCTTCAGGATCAGAGCCTAAATGCTACCTTTGTTGCTGTTGTTTAAAAAAGGAGCTTGGGAATATATTTACAACTTTTGGAAGAATATGTTGCTTTTTATTACTGTTTTAAAAAAATCCAAACAACCATTACATCTGGACAGAGATTCCTGCACATCCTGCACACAGTGGCAGTAGGCTTTGGTTAGAAGCATAAGAAGCCTGGGCTAGTGTATGAGAAAATGAGATTGAACTGTATGAGCAAAGGAACTGGAAATCAATTGGTCTGTTTCCAAGATGCACTCTAAAACTGCTTCCACATTTGTTGTAGGCAACCAGAAGCCATCACAGCTGCCAAAAGAAGCAGTTAAACATTTCCCGCACCGCTGGGCTTTCTTTCATTCCTGTTCCCACACAGTTCCTCTCAGGTGTCAGCAGCAGCATGTGCACTCAGCTTTTCCAGCAGCTGCTCCATGCCCATGACCACTTCAGCTGCCCAGCTCCATCCCTTCTCACACTCCACTGTGTTGGTGAGATGCAGAGAGCTGCAGGGTGGAGCTGGGGGTGCTTGGAGCTTTTCTGTAATCAGCAAAAAGCTGCCCTGTGTCTTGTTCTTCATTCCCCTTGAAAGTTTTGTTGGTGTTTTTTTCCACTGCTCTTGCACACTGAGCTGTTGATCTTAGAGAATTGCTGGCAATGACTCCAGGGTCTCCTTCCTAATTTATGAGTGCTGCATTCAAGTTCAGCATCATTGAAGCAGTTTGTGTCATTCTTCTCTAGATGCATTCCTTTGCATTTATCTAGACTAAAGCTGCACTGCTTCTTGAGAACCTTCTGGAGTTTGCTCAACACTGACACAAAATGCCCAAAGGACATTTACTTTTGTTTCTGTCAACAATATCTTGTCTACCAGAGAAATTCAGTATTGTTCTAAGAATGCTTTTGCTAGGTATAGAATGTTCTGTATGGTACTCCTTAGCTTATCTGGCCTTTTTCCTTGCACTGAAGCTCTTCTGGCCACCTAGACACTGATAGATTACTGCCACTTGTTTTTATAGGAGAGCTGTAGTGATGAATACTTTTCTATTACTCACTCGCATATGCTTTTAATAGGAAATAGTAACAAGGGTTCCAGCATCGTACTTAGAGAGTTGCTAGTTAATCCCCAAATTTATGATGTGTCCAGCTCAATTACACAGTTCAAAGCACCCTGCTTATTGACCACAAGACTTTGAATATTTTCCTCTCACTTTGTCTGTTCTACAAAACTTCTGCAAGATTAAGGCACCCATGTGAAATTTCCTGGAGAAGATTTTCCAGTGTTTGGGTGTTTCCAAAAATTTGGAAGCTCATTTACTCCATTCACATAGGAGTCATGTCCCAGAAGACTCATGATCTGGTGGCACCCTCTCAGCACCACGAGCTGCAGAGCCTTCCAGGCCTTTTGTCCCAGCCCTCCTGAGCTGACTGTCATGATGGTCAAAGTAATAACCCTGCGTGCTTACACAACTCAGCACAAATATTGCTTCAGAACAAGTTTTTAGAGAGGAAACTGTGTCCTGGAAAAGTGATACATTCATGAATCTTCTTCATCCTGTGCGTATTTTGCTGGACTGCTGTGCACCAAAGCTGGATTTTTCTAAAGTTCTGCACCCAGTTCACATGTGACATGCTTAGGTCCTCTGTGGGACCGGCATGGAAATGGAGATCATTTGAAAAGCTGGCACACAGTGCTTTGAGAAGGAGTGACAAACTAGAAAGCTGGCCTGCTTCCCCTTCCTACTGCTCTCAGCCATGTCCTGGCTTCTGAAACCTGCTGGGAGAGCTCTGTGTATGCTGTGATTGAAAGCAGCTGCACGAAAGCGTCTGGGCACAGAAAGTTCTTTTGGTGGCTGCAGCCTCTCCATGAGGAACCATGCCTACCCTCTGCCTGGCAGGAGCATACAGAGGGCAGGAGAAATCCGCACGCCCGGGTCTCCAGGGCCTGTGGGTGGATTAGCTGCAGTGCCACTTTCCGTCAGGATCTGTTTCCCACACAGCGTGACGGAGCGCACGTCTCAGCAGCACGCTGCAGGCACCAGGCTCGCCTCTTCCCATCGCTGCCTGAAGCCCTTTGCAGACCTCTTCTGACCAGTTTTGCAGAGATGAATGTTCAGACTATCTTTTCTGTAGTTTAATTTACATCTGTTTTATATTATTTGCAGTTTTTTCTTTATCTGGCTCATTCCCTCCCGATCACTCTTTGCTTTCTCTCCCCTCCCCATTATCCTTGATAACTGAGTTGATTGTAGTTCGTGTACAGTTACATGCTGTCATCCCTACAGACCTTCCAGCCGCCAGCTGTCTCAACACTACACTCCTATAGAAGTCATTCTTTCTTCACTCCCTCTGTCTGGCTCACCCCACTGAAGGATTCTGAGTCCTTCCTCAGCTTTCTCATAGCTGTTGTTAGCCCAAATTCACTTTTCCATGCTTAGAGACACAGGAATGCCCCAACATGGTACTGATCCATACTCCAACGGACCATTGCAACTACTGCCACATAAAAAAACAGTAGATGAAGTGTATCCCAGAGGATACAAATGTGAGCTAGTTCTTGTAAATAACCCAGGGCAGCCTGATCTGGTGGGGGTCAACCAGCCCATGGAGGGGGTTGGAACTTAATGATCTTTACATTCTCTTCCAACCTGAGCCATTCTATGATTTTATGAACCCACTGCTCTCTGAATTCTGCAGAGGAAAAAAGGGTTTATTTTCCTGAAGAGGAGCGTCCCATCAGCTCCAGCGCTCTGAAGGGGCCCTAATGCAGGGCACAATAGGCCAGGGAGAACAACAGAGCGTAGAGTTGGAATCAATTGAAAATGCAGAGAAACTAGACAGGCAGAATGGGATTATTCAAAGTGGAACGAGAGCAGGGCACTGGGGTGACTGTACCTCACTGCAAACACGGCTGCCATGACTGAGAGCCAGAAGGACCTTGTTTTAGTGAGCAGTCAAGGGGAAGCACATCAAACAGGCAACGGGGAGATAAAGCGGGGAGCAGGAGCGTGGTGGGTGGATGGAGGCACACGCTGGTGCCCGGCCGGAGGAATGTCATGGCTTCACTTGTGATTGGCTGCTGAGTGGAGGAGTCAGTTTTCACGGGGGTTGATCAAAAAGTTTCCTTTTGCTTTCCAAAGTCGCTGTCTGAGCAGAGGCATCGGAAGAGGAGGCCGGTTGCTCTAACATTCCTCGGGAAAGCGACTTAAATGCAATGAGAAGGCTTCTCTTCCCAGGGACACGCAGCCAAGAACAGACACAGAGAAGCTGTTTTCCTTCTCTTCTCTCCCAACTCCTACTGGAGTTGATCAGCTCTCATTTCTGGCATGCGTCTCAACTCTGAGGATACCATGTCACAGTATTCTACTAACTTTCTCTTGCTTCCCATACCAGAGTATCCGGTATTAGACTGCGTGCCCAACAAAATCATCAAGCTGGTGGTGCTGGGTGGCAGCAGTGTTGGCAAGACAGGTAAGCCCGCGGGCATTGCTCACACCGTTTGCTTGCTGCCGTGCTACCTGCAGCTTTGCAGCTCACAGCCACGGCTGTGAAAACTCTCATAACCTTTGCAGCCAAAGCATTTCAAGTTGCTTTGTTGTTTGTTTTGTTTTTATTTTGTTGGCTTGTTCTGACTCATTTGTGAGGCAGGTTTGCTGCAGGGCTGTGACCAGGCAGCGTGAGGACAGGGCAAAGCATGGGGAGCTCTGTACTCACAAATGAATCTCCGTGGCCCTGTGTGAATCATTTAACCGCATCTTCATGTCCACACCCCCAAAAACGGGGCTAGTGATTTCTGTTCTCCTGCTGTGAATGCTGACTGCTGTGTGGACAAATAATAGCACACAGGATGTGCCTGCCTGCACTATTCTGCAAAGGAGAGGAGAGGAGGATAAAGCGAGCGTTATTGCTTTGGAAGAGATGGTTCACGATCCGTTTTTACTACATCTGGGGATCCACGGTGTTCAGGAAAGTGTTCAGTTGTTTTAGATTTGAAGCAGCTACATTTCTGTATTATTTTTAGGTACTTTGTTGAAGCGCACAGTCAATTTCACTTAAAGGTCCCAAGGAGGTGACTCAGTACGTACTGAGAAAAATATATATATTATTTTAAATGAAATAAATCTATGAGACAATTGCTTGCAGGATAAAATGGAGTGGTTTTGAAAATGTTTAGGAATCTGCTGAGCTGAAAGCAGTAGAGGAATATAAGTCACCGTGGCTATAAAGGGGCTTTAAATGTTATCAGGAGATCACAAAAATGGAAAATGTTCAAATTCAATAGTGCATGAAAGCACCACGGGTTAAGATGAATAAGAAGTCCAGAGCACTGGAGCATGACCTGTGTGTGTACAGCACATGCAGTTTGTTTGCTGGATGTAATTAGATATCACTAATGGATTTCACCAGGAGGACTGAGGATTTTTAAGGCTGGGAAGAGCCATTTGATCCCTCAGCCACACTTCTGATATGGCACAGAGGCCTTAAAGTTGGCATCTGGATTCATTTCAGTACTGTAAGGGTTTGGCATGTTACTCTTCTCCTAAATTATTTTAAACCAAAGGTCAGATTGTCACATCTGCCGTCACAACAAACAGTCCTCTGCAGCCCACACCACACAGCCTCACTGAACGTGAGGGGTGATTTACAATACAAATTGCTAAAAGCACTGCTTTAGCTATCACAGTTTGGCCCCAATCCTTTTTTGTGAGTGCAGAGAGAAGGATTTTCAGAATAAGAAGTGAGCAATAGCAAGATTAAGTTGGTTTCATATTATGCTAACTCTTCCAGTAAGATACTACATGTGTTCTGACTTTGGTTCCCATTAAAGGCCCATATTTTTTTCATTGTTTTACAGCTCTGGTTGTGCGCTTTCTCACTAAGAGATTTATTGGAGACTATGAAGCCAACGCTGGTGAGTCTGTTTTCTGCTGCAGTGCTGCAGATAGCTTGAAAAGGAATCCGCTCTCTTTTGTGACTGGTGCACATTACAGGAAAGCCGAGCAGTGTTAGATGTCCATGAGGTGCATATTTTCAGTTAATAGCCTCAAGCTATGAAAGCAATAAATCAAAGCCTCATTATTCACGTTCCTGTTAGCCATTTTTTCCCCCAGCTTGATGGAATAGGATCAGAGTAAAAAGGCTTGCTTGGGAATATACCTATACTAAAGTGCAGGCTCCAGGAGCAACTTGTATATTGACCAAACCACAGAGAGCCAGCACTGCTCTCTGCAGCCCCTGGGAAGCCAGAGGAATTCCAAAGCACACAAAAGGCAATTCAGAACTTTTTTTTCCCCATGTATTCCTTTTCTTTTGGTGGATCTTGTGGCAGTGGAGGATTTCATTTTGAAGTCTTCTTTCTGCAAGATAAGCAAAGGGGCTGTGCAAACTCCTACTTCGTTTCTTGTTTCATTCTGACACCTCAGGATATGTGTTCATGTGAACTGTTTAACTCACAGCCTCTGTTCCAAGTAAGCACTGACTGTTTCAGCCAGGACTGTAGAAAGTATCACTGCGCTCATACCTACAAGCACATCCCACACGTAGGCTATCTAACATTTTTTGAGGGGGTGAAAAAGGAGGGGATAAAAAGCAGTGACACATACTGAATTGAAGACACACAGAGAATTCAGAACAATGAGCTAGGAACAGAGATGGCAGTACAAGACACGTTTGATCTCTGCTTGTCTGATGAAATGAAGTCTGAAAGCTCCTCCGTACAGCCCCCTCTCCCTGACCCCAAGCAACCTTGATGGCTGCCTGCACTATTTCTCTTTTTTTTCCCTTCGTCTTTTCTATGGGAGACTGTACATCAAGTCAGACTTCTGAGCTTTGCAATGGATCATTGCCGAGAACCACATGCTTTTCTCATTAAGCTACCAGCCCAACAGCCATGCTGTAGAAGAAACAAATATGCCAGAAATAGGAAACAGGTGGTAGTGTATTTGTGACCATTCAGGCATGCTTCTTCTTCAGCGAGCGTAAGGCAGAGCACAGCCTATGTCTGGAAGTACCGGGTCTTTTTTTCTACAGTGTACTACAGAGCAAGAATGATATGTTGCCTGGTCTCAGTTCAGGGGTGCAGTACTTTCCCATAAACCAACATCATTTTTCCTGCTTAAAAGCCAACGTGTTTTGAAGAAAAAGCTCCCCAAGCGGGTTATATTACCTCACAGAGTCAGTATTAAAATATAATATGATAATGTTGGATCCAGATGCAGCAAACTTTGCTATATTGAATTTCCTTATATTGTAAATACTTCTATGAGCTCCGGATATTTACCACTGGAATAAAAGCATTTGTTTCCTTGAACCAAATCTAACACAGGCAATTTTCAAAGTGATGGCATTACTGTCACTAACGGGCCACTCTGTTAGTCTGCAGTCCTTACTCTCCAGTAGGTAGGATTTCTCTAGGTTTGAAATGCTGGGCATTGTTTTATGGTGTAGAAATGACAACTGTAGTTGGACAACACTGAAACATCACACACAGCAGCTGTGGATATAGCATTTCTTGCACATCCATGTGACTTGCACTGAGTTCTAAAGAAAAACGTCAATAACATTAATCTCTGAAGCTGTTCTTATCATAACCATGGATAGTTTGCAGGATGAAAAGATTTCTTTGTCACTTAGTTTTACTCCTGTAACAAAATAAAACTCAAGCCCAGAACAGTGATGCTCTTCAAAGAGCTTGGTCAGCCCCATGGCTCTGAGCCAGGACACGGCCTTGAGAATCAGTCATTCACACTAACCAGAACTCCAATTCAAACTGTTCAGTCTTTGGGGATTTCAACCAAGCTCTGACAGCAGAAGTCACACAAATCCTAAAGAACATCTGTGTTTTTTTCTGTATCTAGTCACGTGCTCTGCATCCAAACCTAGAATACTCTCCTTTCTTATGATAAGTAAATAAATAAATCCCCCAAAAATGCAAAAGGAAGCAGTTCACTTAATTTACAGTAAACACCCAGATAGCTTGGCGTGAGATTAAGAGTATGCACTACCTCCATTTTAAAATACAGATTAGAAACCAGAATGCGATTCATGCACCTGTTTTAACAGAATGTTTGACTCAATACTAAGTGCTGTCTTTCCTATATATCATCCTGGAGGTACAGTGGAAACATTCAACCACATAACAAATACAGAACCACCTGACTTAAATACACAGCCACACATTCTTTCTGGTTCCGCTCACCTTTCTATACACAGCTATGAATCATAAACCTCAAATTCTGGCTTTCAGCACTTCCATTTTCCCCTTATGTACTATTTCTTTGTTGTCATAGTCACTGCCTCTAACGATCTTGCTTTTCCACCAGGTGCATTGTATTCAAGAAAATTCACCATAGATGGGGAACAGATCTCCCTACAGGTGCAGGATACTCCCTTTGTTTCACTGGAGGTAAAACATCTGCTCAGTGCATCAGTACTTTACAACACAGTTACTGTCTCTTGTTTGTTGCCAGCATGTTAATCTGTAAATAACTCAGCTTTCCAGAAGAAATACACCTGGGCTCAAACCCAAATGAATTCTTACAGGTGTACCTTAAACCCCATCAAAATGAGCCCCTGCAGAGGTTAAATCAGGTTTCTTTCTGAGCAAGTCAGAATTAAAACAAATCTGTGAGGGCATAGGTCTTACAGAAGTGGCTATTTCAGCTAGAGCGCTTTTCAATGCTTTCCTTCCTTGTTTTTTAATTTTACTTATTTTTTATTTCTCAGCTGTTGGCATTTACATACTTTCCTATTTCTATTGGTATTTGAGATATTCTAGATTTAGCGTTTGACTGGGAGCCAAACAGAATCTAGAATTAAGATGTCTTTCTCAGAAGAGCAGTTTTACTTGCAGAACAAGATGATGAAAATGATGTCGGAAGAGCGGGAATGGAATGAAGTTTATTTTTATGTGACAGGTGAAAATCTCAGGGGAGTAATAACTTCTATTAAAAAAAAGCTGAGATTTCATGGTAAAATTAGGTATCCTCTTGTTGCCCCCAAATCTAACCTTCTGAAAAGCCATTCCTGAAGTCTTCCAACTATTCTGGTGGGACTTCAGAGAACAAAGACCCTATGCCAGTTTGTACAGAGAAGACACTGCAAGGAGAACCTGGTGGTGGTTCGGCAGGACGGGGAATGTCCAACAATGGTAGCAAAGGGAGACCCCTCCTTGCTCTATCCCTTGAAGAAAGGAGGGAGTGAAGCGATTTAACTCCTTTCACAACGGATACAAGTTTATTTTCTGATTTCCCTGTTTTAATTAAAACTGCCTGAGAATTTAGAGACTGTAACCAGAGCTCTACAAAACGCAGTAACATCAACAGCTGAGGTTTCCTAGTCAGAAAGTATTTTAATTTAGTTAGGAAAGAGTTTCATTTTCTTTGTCCCATTCAAAGGTCTGCACTGCTTCAACAGTTCCCACAGACACACTTATCTTAGCCTGGATCTCTGCTGGCATCAATCAGTGTATCTGAAAGCGTTTTAAAGGACTGCTTCTGACCAGAACTTACTAAAAGTGAGAATAGGTTGGACTTGCTGGTAAAATCCTTAAGAAAGACTGCTGTGTGCAGGCATTTCAGGAGGAAGTCATGTAGAATCCTCAGGACTGCAGCCACACTGGAAATGTTCATGTTTAAGAGAGAAACAGAAGCAAAGAGATAACTGGTTTTGTTAGGTGATTCATTGCTGATGGCCTACACATGGCAAATCACTAGGCGTTTCAAAATTTGTTCTGGAGCAGAGATTTCCATTTAAAAATGGCCCATTAGTCTTTGATTTTCCCCAGTAAAGCATTCCAGTGGGGATTATCCATCCATCTCACTACTGGGTGGGCCTAGCTGGAGTAACTGAGAGTTTCTGCTCATTAGGGTTCCCTTCAAACGTGCACCTTCTCCAAAAGCATTTTCAAGCTTGCCAGAGCAATTAGTTCTTTTTCCTCATAAAAGGAGTTTGCTGATGAAAAGAGGCAAGCAGGATGTGAAGGGTGGCTAATTATCTACAGATTGGACACAACCCAGACACCAACAGTGCAAATTGCCCTTCTTCCCACAGTCTGCCCCATCATGGCTTGAATTTGCTCTCATTTGCCTTTGAAGCAGGGCTGCTACGAGGCTCCCTCTTCCTTCTGTATGCAGCCCTGGTTGGGTTTGTTTTGTTTTGCTGTTTCTTGGATGGGGAGCACAGAGAGGAGGGTGATTAGAGCATCTGTTAAGCAATTTCACATCTAAGATTTAGCTTTGTATTACTGTAAGCTGGCAAGAGCAAAAAATTACTGAGTGTGATGAGCCAGTGACTGTATTGGCCACAGTGCAATATGAAAAGGGCAGTTAGTTCGCAGAACTGCTGCTGAAAGCTGTAAGCCTAATTTGTAACCTGAGCCTTCAGAAATTCTGCTTCCTCCTTCCCACAGGAGAGTCTTGACTGTAGTCCTTCTTCCAATTGCCTGATGTGCCATAAAGAATGAATCAGTTTTGCCCATGCTTTTCCTCCTTTCCTTCCTGAACTTAGGCTTTATAATTCATGTTTAGATGTCTAAATAAAAGCAATACAGTTTGGGAGGTTGCTGGGTGCACACAAATCCTGTTGAAACATATGGGAATGGCAGATATGTGCTGTGTAGACAGATATTCGAGCATACATTCTAATACTTCAAATTTCCATGACTGATAATGAACAGTGATTACATTTTTACCACACACATTTTTTATTCTTTCTTATGATAAACTAGGTTTCTGCCATAAGACCTCTGAACACTTTTCCAGGTGTTCTATGCCTTTGGAATGAACTCATACATGTACAACATGACAATTTATGAATGATGTTGAAGTATCTGAAATGTTGCCTGTGTTAGTTTAGGAAGATAAGAACTGACATGTTATGCCGGATCTATCCTCCCCAGCCAATCAGCTGAATTGCTTATTGTGCTAATTATGTTGATTTAAAATGCCTCCCCTAAGTCTTACTGAAGTTGATGATGTGTTGAATGGAATTTAGCAATAATAGAAGCAAAAAAATTGGGCTCTATTTGTGATGTTGAACTCCCACTGAAGAACACAGAGGAACCTCTTATTCCCTACAACTTCAACAAGGGCTGAATATGTTCAGTGCCTTGTTGGGTATGGAAGAAAATGCAAGGTTCCAAAAAGCCTGGATTATTGACAGGAATGTCCGTTCTTATCAAACGAAGCTTACTGGTAGTAACTGCAGCACTGATCTCCCTGTCTAGTTGGGAAACATGCCAGCAGGGATAACAAAAAAGAGAGCGGTAGCTGAAAATAGCCTCATCTTGAAAAGTAAGCAGATCTCTTTTCAAGCTCCATGGTATTGTGGCATTGTATTCTGTTTTATACTCTCCACACTGGTGCCTATTATGACTGTATGAGTAGGAGCTGTGCTGGGCAGAACAAACGTGTGACCAGCAATGCACTAACATAAGCCCACTGCAGCTGCACAAACGAGCAATGAGATTTCACCTCATTTTCAGTTCCAGTAATTGGTTATTTGCAACAAATTGCTTTTTCAAAGTAATCTTGCTTCTCACTATTGGAAGAAGTGTATGGCAGTAAAACCTGTCAAGCTTCACTTAATAGAGTTAGTGAGAATCCCTGTCCATGGAGACACAGAATACAGAATTGGAAAGAGCCATAAAACGCAGCTTGGGGACCGCCATTCACTTGCAGCAGTGTGAATAGCCTGCTGAGATTTTTTAATGCTTACCATTCCATTCACCATTTTACCCACACCGAAAGGTCAGGTTACTGCTGTAAGGATTCACCAGATGAGAATACAAAATGAACTTGTTAGTATCAGCACTAGGTTGTTCTCTTATTTTCAACACGGCGGCTTTGATCCCTCTCCATTTTTCTGCTGCTTTAACATGCTACTGATACAGATGGAACTTTCTCCTGTCCCCAGTGCATGCCCAGCAATCAGAGAGGTTTCTGCCTTGTGCTGAGCAACAGCCACACACTAAAACCCCGCCCTGAGCAGCCAGCGCTGCTGTATGACTGCTCCATCTGCTCTCTATTCTCAGTTTTCTAATCTCATTCCTCTTGGTTTTGACGGCAGGATGACACTGACAGCATCTGCTGCCAGGAGCAGATCAACCGCTCGATCTACTGGGCAGATGGCTTCGTTTTTGTTTACTCCATCACAGAATACGAGAGCTACCGCGTCATCCGGCCCCTGTACCAGCACATCCGCAAGATTCACCCCAACGCTAACATCCCCCTGCTTCTGATGGCAAACAAAGGAGACCTTCTGCGAGCCAGGCAGGTGTCCTCCAAAGAAGGACTCCAGCTGGCCAGCGAACTGGGAGGTACTTACTATGAAGTCTCAGCGCGGGAGAACTGCGAGGGCGTGCACGAAGCCTTCCAGCAGCTTTGCCAGGAGGTCAGCAGGATGATTGGCAGCTGCAATGGAGAGAAACGAAGAGGCCTCCACCTTGTCCGACCCAAATCTCCAAATATGCAGGACTTAAAGAGACGTTTGAAACAGGCTCTGACTTCCAAAGGGAAATCTGCCACTATGCTTTGATGTAGCTGATAAAAATAGTTTTCCACACCCCTGGACAAAAGGCAAGCAAATAAACTGGTGTTTAAGGGAATCTCCAAAGTACAGTATTTGGGCTGTGTGAGAGGTCCCTTCATTCTCTCTGTATATCTTCCTTAAAAATTCCATGTTTGTTCATCAGAGGAACTCACAGAACGTTCTCGTGTGGCAAGAATGTAGAAACTGATTTAAGGTATAGATTGTCCCAAATTATTTCTTTCCCAAAAGGAATGCAGTCAAATAGTTTAGGCATAAAATGTAGATTTTATTAATAAAATAAATAAATCTTACTGATTTATTTAGAGGAGTGGCTTCTCTTGGGTACAGCTGTATTCTTGAGTGTGGGCAGTAAGCTACAGCAAGGCACCAGGAGAGTGACATGAGCCATACTGAGCAAGCAAAACCAAATTTGCTTAGTCACAAGACTGGAAAATAAAGACAAAAAGTAAATGATAAGCATAAGTAGTAAAAAGTAATAATTTAACAAATATAATTAATTCAAATCTAGAACACTTAGAAGGTGTTCTTAGCAACATGGGGAGAGATTTGCAAGCTTCTATAGGATATAAGCTTTTATAAGATATTTTTAAAACTATAACAATTTATTTCAGATTATTTTTCTTTAAGTGCATACAATTTCTGAAAGGGATTCTGTGGGCACAGTACTTACTTAGCACCATTTGTAGACAGATTCTCAGTGGTCTACTTCTCATTTTTGTGTAAGTTTCCTATGTGGTAATGTGGGACAAATAGAGCAGCGTGGCTATAAAACCTGCAGAGAGCAAATGGGCAGTATTAACCAAGAGCAAGGATGGGATCTGAAACGATATAACCTTTTTTCTAAACAAATTAGATGTCCTGCTCAAGATGATCTTTTAAAGAAACAAGGCCTTTACTCAAAGTATATTTGATTCATTACAATTTTTTGGAATTATTTTTCAGCAGAAAGGGTTTTGTGATGCCTGAAACACCTGGCTTCAGGAATTTATCATTTTGTTATTTGCCTTCAAACCAGGTTTTACTCGATCCCTTGCAATGCATCCAAATCACCAGTCTGTCGATAGAGATCTCACTGGCAGTTTCTCACTGCAGTTGTTCTCTGTGTGTGCCAAGGGCTTTGAAGCTGCATCCTGTGAGCTGGCCAATTTTATGGTCGCAATAACAACACTATGAGGCACCCATCATTCTGTTCCTAATGGGAATGGAAAGAAACTGGGTTGGATCATGCAGAAGCCGTGGTACAACGACCTTTTCTTTAAACACGCCACCCAAGCACTTCACAGGATCATGGAATGGATTAAAACTCAATGATTTACAGTGAGGAACACAGGTGGGGAAATCCTAGTTCCATGGATGTGGAAAAACACTCCCAGCTGCAGCAGTACTGAGCTAACTCAACATTTTACTCATGAACAGCAAAAATGCAAATTGAGTCTGATGAGTACCCATACAGCTCAGGGCTTGAAATTCTGTTTTATGTTTATTTGCCCCACTGTTGGACAGCTCTACTCATTATTTTCTTCATCACTTGGATTTGCTTTACCTACAGCTCACCTTCTGGTTTGTTTATTGTTCTCCACGGCCAGCATTCTGAGACATTCTGATTAATTTGAAGCTCTTCTACACACACAAAGCTGTGCTTTTTTTTTTTGTTTGTTTGTTTTTAGTGAGCTTCAATTGGTAGTAGAGAGTGAAACAGAAAGTTGGATCAACCAAACAGGGACTCAAGCAATATTAAGGGATTTGTACTTAGCTAATGGTTTCTTAACAGCTTAACATTCTAGCTGGGCCATTGTCCTCTTGGCATTTTGGAACTGCATTTGTTAGCGTGAGATTTGAGTCTTCCAAAGTACTAACAGCATAGTTCAAATAGCAAATCTTTAACATGAAAATGAGCAAAGAGATTGTGAGAGACAAGTGAGCTGAACATTGTTTGCATCAGAATAGTGATTGCCAGTTTTGAAAAGCAACCACATATCTTACCATTCCGGTACTGTATAGTTAGGGCTCAATTTACTGAAGACAGCTTGCTGAAATTTGTTTTCATAAAAGCCTTAGGGAATTAGGTCCTCTATCTCATTAAATTTGCTTGTAACTCACTCTTTTGGTTCTGATCCTTTATTTGGGAAGAGAGTTCAACACGTTTCAAAACTGCCAATGTTTTCTTTTCGGTAGCAACTAATAAAATCAGACAAGGCCTTTCCTGAGTAGTATATAAAATGTACATCTCATATCTTTAACTGTTCTTTGTTTATATTAGGTAAAAATATTTTTTTTCTTAACACCCTGCTTTGGAAGTACACGCAAGCACTCCTATGCTTGCACTCCTACATATGTATTCCTGCATTCCCGTGGCTCTGGTGGGGGAAAAAAACACCCATGTTCTAGCTAAGGCCAAAAAATATTGAAATATTTAAGTCTTCTCCTAAATATTAACATGTGGCTAGCATTTATTCTGCCACAGAAACTTGAGTATAGCATTTCCTTCGTTCATTAATCGGCAATACAAACCTGGCAGTAGCTTTGATACTGGATTTAAGCCAGGACTTACCATCTACAGGGGATGATCGAGCTCAGCATTTTTATTCACAGCACAGTACTGAAACATCAGAGCACAATGCTGTGCCACTGATGCTCAGCAAGGCTGAGGAAGGAGAGCAGTAGCATGAAAAGTATAGAGAAGAGAACAATACAGAATTCAGTGCCTAAAAATGACCATGTAAAATATCAAAGATTAGCCACACAGAACCCTACCCTGAGCCTCTTCGGGCTGCCAAAGGGAAATATACACTCTATTGGAGCTTTGAAATGAAACTTCTAGAGAGAAGGTACTTGATGAAAAGTCAAGGGAGAACGTGAGAAAGCAATTTGAGGGGAGGAGGAGGAGTTTGTGGTTTTGGCTGGGAGCAGGGGGTGGGGGTTTGAGAGATTCTGGTTATCAAGAAAATTCTCAGTTATTCTGCTTAAATCCAAATCAAATCTATTGGAAGCAATGTACTACAGAATTAACTTTGAATTGATTTGAAAATGATTGAAACCTTGTGCACCATCTGGTTTCTAAGCCGCCTTGCAGCTGGGTTCACTTGGGCACAACGCAGTTGAGTGATCTGCCCCCAGGTTACACAGCTGCGCCGAAGTGCTTCCGCCGAGCTCAAAACCAGAGTCCTTTGTAACATCCATTCCCAACACTTCCCAACAGCTACCAGGCTGTACTGCCTCCCTCAAGGATGCACAAAGCACTGTGAGTAGTGCTACATGAGACCGTAACTAAAAGTTGGAAAAAGTCACTTGAATGACAGACTGTGCTAAGAACACACTGAGTGAAGCATTTCTGACATCCTGAGCATTGTAGTAGCAGCAAGACTGGCCTGTGAGTCACTGAAGATATTAGTAAATGATCATTTAAAAGATAACTTATAAGGAAAGCCAGCCCCCTTCTGACTTGCTTAGTCAGGATATTTACACATCAGTTGTCTGCATTTTCAGTAGAGATAGCTTCAATCTTAACATCTCAGGCTGTTGTGATCTCAGTTTTACATTTGAAAAGTAGGAGGAAAATGGAAAATTCAGACCTCAATTTCAAGAAATGGCTCAGACAGAAATGTTGGTACCCTGGGTGCCCGCTTTGCACAGGCTCTGTGTCAGGTGTCCAGCTGAAGGAGCACCTTCCTGTGGCGCGGAAAGAAATGTTGCACCAGAGAACCACTGGTTTCAAATGGCAAACTGGAAGACCGCCAGCTCATTGTGATGGTGGGGTTTCCCTGCGCCAAGCTGGAAGGCTTTGGGTCAAATCACTCTGAAGTCTGCAGAGGCAGTGTGTGACCCTGAGGTGACAGAACATGATGACATATTTGCTAGTCTCTAGTTGTTCATGTAATTTCCAAGACCTCTCACATGCTGACGTTTTCTCTTTTGGGACTGGCACAGGAAGGGCATGCAATCAAGTTAAAAAGATCTCTAGAGCCATTCTAAAAACCTCAAAAGCAGAGACAATGGTCCTAGAAAATGCTGTCCCATCGATCACATCTGGAGACAAAGCAGGACTCCTCCTTGGATACTTTCTCACCCTCCTCCTCTTGGCTCTCCCTTCCTTGTCCCTCTCCATTCGCGCCTCTGTGCTGGTTTAGTTTGGCAAGGAATACCTCTGCAATCACTCTTCCTTAGGCTTAAAAGAATAATTTTGGTGTTTAGTGTATGATATATTCCAAATATTTTAACTGCAGACATGGTTTATATCAAAACAAGAGTGCCTGCTTAGCCTTTTGAACTTCTTTACCTAAATCATTTTAAATCACACTTAAATCAAGTCAGAAGAACTCTGCATTCAGACAAACCTTTGAATTCATGCCATTTCTCCCCAGATGCTCTCACTGGCTTCGCCCAGTATCTTCCTCCCCTGTAAGCTCATTTATGTTGCTTAGTCACTGCTTACTTAAACCTGTTTAATTCAGTAAAGTTTTGCTGCTCTTCTCTGAAATCTCTCCAGTTTAATCAAGCGAGTTCTGTTCTCTAGGCAGCTGTGCAAGCTGTGGATGAGTTCAGAACAGCTGGTAACTTTCTGCTCTGTCAGATTTTTGCCCATTATTGAAGATTTTGGAATAAGCAGGAGCATGGATGGAGATTCATCAAACCAACTTTGAGTCTCCTTTTGCTTGTCAGCTTCCTTTGGTGGCAATAATAATATCCATCACAAGACGGACCAAGTTTGTTCTAAATGACAGTGTTTCAGTTCAATTCCTAGAGAGGGAAAAATGCCAAATATGAAGCGGATAGATGAGTTGGTAGGCTCTGCAAACCCTGAGATCCGATTCATTCAGGAGCTGTCACACCAATCCTCTTTTCCTTAGAAGATACATTTCTTAGATTTTCCATTTTATCCAAATGGGTTTCAGGACAGCTTCTGGATCTCATCACACAGACACTTACTGTCTCCTCTGCAGCAGGTCAAGGGGAAGCTGTACATTTTCTAAATGCAGTGGGTGAAAGAATGTATGTCTTGTGCTGTTATTATGGATGATTGTGGAGACTGTTCCTAAGGACAATGTTTTTCTTCTTCTTTCCAGGAGAAAAACACAGAATGCTAGCAAAAGTAGCTGGTCATTTTGAAAAGCTGTTAGCTGTGTTTGCTGAACTGTGAGACAAACTGCTTCCTCTGCTGGTTAAAAAACCCACCAGATAAGTGGGGGTTGGGATTTTAAAGATGCAGCCTCTGAACTCTTGCAGAGAGTTGAATTATGTCACTTCTTGATGGGGATCCAGGTTTCCACTTGCTTGCAGGAGCCTTCACTTTTCACACTGTGTTCTGCACTGTATTTCACTTCAAAACTCAGTATTTTCCTGATGATAAAAATGAGAAATGTCTTTGGAGTGTCATTCTGAAGTGCAACAGCCCATTATCTCAACTCCCTATTTTTGATGAAGACCAAGGATGTCTGAGCTGCTTTTACAGTTGTTGGAGACTAGAGCTCATACTTCATAGGCAAACGTGTTTATCATTTCATTGTTATTTAACTAGTAGAACATGGTACACTGTCACACACTTCAGACATTCTGTGACTGTCAGTAAAGAGCAGTGGGATGTGGAAATGAGAGAGGCATAAAACTACGCTCCTGAGATTTCCTGTTAGAGAGAAACAAACTTTCCCTTAAGCACTGAGAAAGGTAACGAGCTGGTGGTAATGATGAATATAAAGAAAGCAGCAACAGCAATTCTGGCTAAACAATCCAAGCTCCATTCCCTTGGGTTGGAAAACAAGGAAGGTGCCAACTTTAGTGAGAACCTCCTAAGTTTAGAAAAAGGGTTCACTGAGAAACCGCTGGTTCTCTGAGAAGGAACCAAAATGTTTCAGTGGACTACACATCTTGAGGTACTCAGCTGAAAAAGAGAACCAGAACCCAGGCCTTGGAGAGCCATCAGCATTTTCCATCCACATCTATTCAGAGCAGTGGTGAAAAGCCCACATCTTCATCACATTCCAGCTCCCACGGTTACTTAAGGCCCATGTCAAAGTCACTTCTGAAGGACTACTGCAGTATTGCTGGTCTCAGTGTAGGTCTGGGACAGCTCCAGCAGTGAATGGTGGCTTTGAGCTGCCACTCTTCTCCCCCTTTAACCACAAAGACCACCTGTGTAGCCAAGCTCAAGAGCTAAGACCAAATTCCATATATCTGATCAGTGTTCATCAGTCCGTGCTGGAGCTCAGTAACTGGCTCTCAGAAGAACCAACATCTGCCAAAGGAGCAGCTTTTAAAACCCAGAATGCATATTTGTGTCAGAACTGTGAAGTGATACATTCTATATGCAAGCACTATTCTGAAAACACTACTTATTGGGCTGCTTTGAAGAAAGCAAGAAGTTTTGTTTCTAAATCCTGAGTTTTAATCATTAAGATTATTCATTTTTATCTATTTTCATGCACTTAATTTTAGCCATTTGCACTTGTGAACCTCACACTAGGGAACGAGCCAAAGGAAATGGAGCCAATGGTTTCTCCTTTATACATTTGACAGTGCACACCTTCCCCATCCTGTGACTGTGTCTCAATGCTGGAAGAACTTAGAACCGCAGATATGGCTGAAGAAGGCACCATGCAAAGCCCAGGTACCCCACAGCCCTGATTCCATATCAGCTGGTGAGAGCCACTGGCCACGCAGACACACGTCCAAAAAGCACCAGTGTTCAGAACCTAGTGGGGCACAATTTGCAATGAGCTTAAAATCAGGATGAGAGCAGTGGACTGTTGAAGGGTTAAACATTTCCTGCCTTTAATCTGGAATCACGTAATGTGGAATGAATGTTTCAGCTCAAAATGTTTCCTCGCTCTGGCAGTGTCATGGTGGGAGGTCAAAGTGTGGGGGAGACAGAAAGAAAAAAGGGGGTGCGCGGTGTGGGGAGCCAGGGAAGCACACACACCCAGCAATGAGCAGGATGGGTTCTCCAGCAGCGTTAGCCCAGCTGGATGGGCTTTGGTGCAGCCATGGGCTCAGTGTAGGACGTTAGGGACTTCCTGCTCCAGCTGCCTCTGCTTCTCCCATGTGTGCGTGCTTCTGCTCTGGGCACAGTTCCCACGCTACATTGCAAAATACGCCTTGAGTTTCTCACAGTATCTCTGCCCAGACACAAACTGCAGCTTCGGCCCTTCCTGCGCCCGGAGGTGGCTCTCCTCTGGGGCAATGCCTGCTGTAGTTACGTTTCCTGCCGATGGAGGCCTTTTCCTGTGCGACCAGAATTGGTCTGTACACCAATGGGCTTTATCCAGGGCAGCAAACTTCGATTTAAAAACTTGTCAAATTTCAGACTACCCCAATTTAGCAGAGCAGCCCGTTCTCAGATGGCGTATTACACAAAGCAGCATCAGCCTTGTGCATCTCACCTGCACACCTTCCTATGAGCACAAGGCAGTCAGTAGCTTGTGACTGTCACTCCTTCTGTCAAAAACCATTCCTACAGATCAGTGTATCTCACATTCAGCTGTTTTCCCTGCAGTTTCCACCTCCTCTGTTGCAGGCAAGACAGTTTCCACACGATGAATTCTTACTTATTTAATTTCTTACCAATTAGCTTTAACAGCTTATCACTGATTCAGGACCTGAGGAAAGAAAGAAAAACACACACACATGAACAGAAGGGAAGGGAAGGGAAGGGAAGGGAAGGGAAGGGAAGGGAAGGGA